TTAACTTCAACCTCGCTGACAAGTAGCTCGATTTCTGAAAAGTTCCTCTTTGTGGCCATCTTTGCCATGATGATGAACGGTGAGGGGGAAAATCTTCATTGTTTTATAAAGATAAGATAAACTTTGTCACGTACACAGTTATACACAGGACAGCGTAGTGAAATGTGTTTAATACCTGCATCCAGTTGCAGTGAAAAATTAAGTAAGATTCCTAAAGTGTTCAAGAAATATATACACACAAAGATGAATCAAATCAAATCTGATCAATGGAACATGTATGACACAAGGTGCGTGTAAAGAGGTGTGTTGTTGCCGTATGTGGAGGCGTTTCTAAAGCACGTTTGATAAATACAGATTTTTTGTACTTGCACTCTAAATTTCATGCATAAGGCAGAATTTAGAACCTTTTCTATGCACTGATGATAGATGAGGCGCCTGGTGTGTCTGGAGGTGGAGGAGGCATGAAGGGTGTTGTGGGGTCAGGGTTCGGGTCACTGGGGGGACGACCGTCGCTGTTTAAGAAAGACCATTAAATGATCAGTAACAGTGAAGTTCTGTGGGCAGACTGAGCTGCTGCTAAAACGTCCTACGACAGAAGGAGTCGAAGAGCAGACCCAATACGGGCCTCGGCTAGTTTAAAAACTGTTCCAAACCCGGACTGCTGAGGAGGTTTGGAGGTCGCAGTCCAAGGGTCTGGTGGGTCGGGGGATGAACTATATGAAGCCGGGTCGGGGCATGATGCCTGCTGCTGGGAGTGACAACCGGAGGGATGGAGGTCCAGGACAGAGGGTGGAGAGAGGAGGAGGACGAGGACCATCGGAGTCCTGGGTCGACGGGAGTCAGGTGGAGGGAAGTCCTGCTGGTCCAGGACGGAGGACTTGTTGTTCTGCTGCAGGCTCTGAGGTGCCTCAGGACGGCAGAGGAGCGTCCCATCATGGTTGCCTTTACCGGCAGCAGTCCAAGACTTATCTGGGTCAGAGAGATGTTCTGGCTCAGGTGAAAACAGCTGTGGCACCTGGAAGGAGGCGGGACTAGTGAGGTCCGGTGGTGGTCAGAGAGCAGCACAGATGTTGTGAGAAAATGCCGGCAGCCTCCTGTTTGAGGCGCTGGTGTTGAACAGAGCTGCCATGCTAAAAACACGCCGGGCGTGCTAGCAACACTCCACCTGTTGTGGCGAGGAGACCTAAAACTCCGGGTCAGGACGTCTGATCGTTAGTGGTTTAAAACGTATGTATAAAATAAAAACAGGATCTAAAAACGCAGCACAAAACAGCGTCAGTAGGGTCAAAAATACCAAGTTTAGGAGAATTTCTGAGAGTCTCAAACAGGCCTGACGTAGGCAGACTGTCGCTGACGCTCCTGTGATGCTTCCTGCT